TAGGTTAAATAATATAAAGTGTAAGAGAAGACATAACAAATAATATGACAGAAATACAAAGAACCATAAGAGACTACCATGAACAATTGCACACCAAAATATTGGACAACCTAGAAGAAATGGTCAAATTTATAGAAACATACACTTACCAAGGGTGAATCATGAAGAAGTAGAAAAGTCTGAATAGAATTTCTACTAGTAAGGAGAATAAATTAGTATCAGAATATTCTAACAAACAAAATCCCAGGACCCAGTAACTTCACTGGTGAATTCTATCAAATATTTTTAAAAGAATACCAATTCTTTAACTCTTCCAAAAAAAGAAGAGGAAATCCTCTCGAATTCAATTTACAAGACCCTTAGTACACTGATGCCAAAACAGCAAAAGGACACACACAAAAAAATTACAAGCCAATATCCCTGATGAACAGAGGTGCAACAAAATCCTCAACAAAATATTAGCAAACTGAATTCAACAGAACATTAAAAGAATCATACCCCATGATCAAGTGGGATGTATTCAAGGGACACAAGGGTAGTTCAACATCCACAAATCAATCAATGTGATACACCATTTTAACAAAATAAAAGATAACAATCATGATCATCTGAATAGATACAGAAAAAGTATTTCACAAAACTCAATCTATCCATTATGATAAAAACTCTCAACAAAGTGTTGTATACCTCAACATAATGAAGGCCAGCCATGACAGCCCCTCAGCTAACATACTCAATGGTAAGAAGCTGAAAGCTTTTCCCCTAAAATCAGGAACGAGACAACAATATCCACTCTTGCCACTTTCATTCAACTTTGTACTGGAAGTCTATGCCATAGCAATTATGCAAAAATAAACAAACAAACAAACAAACAAACAAATAAATAAAAGGCATCCATTCAGAAAGACATAAATTATTAGTATTTTTAACTATATTTTATTGATTATGATATTACAGTTGTCCCAACTTATACCCCTTCGCCCCCCTACACCCAGCACCCCCTACTCCCCCAGGCAGTCTCTCCACCATTGTTCATGTCCATGGGTCATGCACATAATTGCTTTGGCTTCTCCATTTCCTATACTGTACATCCCCAGGGCTATTCTGCAATTACCTATTTGTATTTCTTAATCCCCTCACTTCTTCACCCATTGCCCCACAACCCTCTCTCATCTGGCAACTATCAAAACATTCTCTGTATCCATGATTCTGTCTCTGTTATTCTTTTTTGCTTAGTTTGTTTTTAGTTTCAATTGTTGATAGATATGTATTTATTGCCATTTTATTATTCATAGCTTTAATCTTCTTTTTCTTATATAAGTCCCTTTAGCATTTCATATAGTAATGGTTTGGTGATGATGAGCTCCTTTAGCTTTTTCTTGTCTAGAAAGCTCTTTATCTGCCCTTTGATTCATTTTAATTATGATGTGTCTTGGAGTGGGCCTCTTTGCATCCATCATAATTGAACTCTGTGCTTCTTGGATTTGGATGTCTATTTCCTTCACCAAATTAGGGAAGTTTTCTTTCATTGTTTTTTCAAATAGATTTCCAATTTCTTGCTCTTTCTCTTCTTCTGGCACCCCTATTATACAAATGTTGGACGGCTTGAAGTTGTCCCAGACTATTCACTAATACACTATTCTTATTTTTTTAATTCTTTTTCTTCTTCTTGTTCTGATTGGTTATTCTCTGGTTCCTTATGTTCCAAACCATTGATTTGATTCTCAGCTTCATCCACTCTACTGTTCTTTCCCTATAAGTTGTTCTCTATTTCAATTAGTGTATCCTTCATTTCTGACTGGATCTTTTTTATGCTGTCAAGGTCCTCACTAAATTCCTTGAGCATCCTTATACCCAGTGTTTTGAACCAGTTCAGACACACCTGTGTTCTGCCCAGGGCCACCCTGCCTAAGCTATAATGCAACCTGACTTGACTGCTACTTGTGCTGGGCTTGGAGATTCCCAGATGAAGCCAAGGTGTGAATCTAGGCTGGCTGCTAATAGTGCTGGGCCTTGGGCCACTTAGCAAGAGGTAGGGATTTAGGAGTTCACTGAGGCCAGTTGTTGCTTGTTTGAGAGTTTTTAGAAAGTTGTGAAGCATTTGTGACCTCCAGCCATTCATATGGAGAAGCCACTGTTAACAGCTCTAAGTTGGGTGGGACAAAGCCTCAGGGTATCTTTAGAGCAGGGCAAATAGTGTTAGCCAGGTTGATAGAGTCTCTGATATGGTACCAGCCTTCTGACTCCGTGGCTCTGTTAGGGAGAGGATTCAGAAGACAGTGAATGGTCTCTGCCTGCCTTTCTGTCTGAAAGAAAGTTGTCTCCCAGTGATCACCTTGATATCAGACACTTCAGTTTCTCCCTGTATGCCATTGGTGCCTTTCAAGCGGCTACCCTGGTGCTGGAGGTCAGAGGGAGCGAGTCTGAGTAAGTCTGTGTGTGGGTTCTTTAAGGGAAACTGCTTAGGACTCTAAAAGTTTCTTCCACTGACTCAATACCCACTGTTTTTTTCAGCCAGAAGTTGTGGGGACTTATTTTCCTGGCACTGGAACCCTGGGTTGGTAGGTCTGGCGTGAGGCTGGGACTCCTCACTACTGAGATACCCCTCCTGAATTTTTATCCACCACATGTGGATGTGGGACCAGCCTGTTCTGCATCTCTGCTCCTCCTACCAGTCTGGATGGATGTGTTTTCTTTAACTCCTTAGTTGTCAGGCTTCCATTCAACACATTTTCTGATGGTTTTAAGTGATGGTTGTTCTATATTTTAGTTGTAATTTTGATGTGGTTGTGCTAGGAAGCAAGCTGTGTTAACCTATGCCTCCATCTTGACTGGATGTAAAGTATTACTATTTGCACATGACGTATCATATACAGAAAATCCTAAAGACCCTACTAAAAACTGTGAGAACTAGTAAACAAATTCAGTAAAGTTGCAGAATACAAAATCAACATACAAAGATCTGATGCATTTCTATATAATTACAAATTATCAAGAAAACTGTCCCATTTACCACTGTATCCAAAAGTAGAAAACATCTAGGAATAAATTTAACCAAGGAGGTGAAAGACCTATAATCTGTAAACTTAAGACACTGATGAAAGAAATTGAAAATGTAAATAAATGGAAAGATATTCCATGGTCATAGATTGGAAAAAATATTGTTAAAATGCCCATACTACCCAAAGCTATCTACAAATTCATGTATTCCCTTATCAAAATCTCAGTGAGATTTTTCACTGAAATAGAATAAACAATCCTAAAATTTCTATGGAACCACAAAAGACCCCAGAATAGCCAAAGCAATCTGAGGAAGTAGAACAAACTGGAGACATCATGCTTCCTGATTTTTAATTGTACTACAAAGCTATAGTAATCAAAACAATATGGTATTGGTTTAAAAACAGACACATAGATCAAAATAGTGACCAGAAACCAAATTTATATATATGGTCAACTTATTTAGAACAGGAGCCAAGAATATACAGTAGTAAAGGGCAGTGTTTTCAATAAATGGTGCTGGTAAAACTGGGCAGCCACATGTAAAAGAGTGAAACTGGACCACTGTTGAACACTGTACATAAAAATTAACTCAATATTGATTAAAGGCTCAAATGTTAGACCTGAAACCATAGAGCTCCTAGAATAAAACATAGACAGTAAGCACCTTGACATCAGTTTGGTGATAACTTCTTTAACCTGACACCAAAAACAAAGGCAAAAGAAGCAAACTTAAACAAATACGACTATATCAAAGCTTCTGCACAGCCAAGGAAACCATGAACAAAATTAAAAGACAACCTACTAAATGGGAGAAAATATTTGAAAACCATGTATCTGATGAGGGGTTAAAATTCAAAATGTATAAAGAATCCATACAACTCAATAGCAGAGAAAAACCACTCAGACTAAAAAATTGGCAGAGGGTCTGAATAGAGATTTTTTCCAAAGAAGAATAATAGCAAACAGGTATATGAAAAGATGCACAATGTCACTAATCATCAGGGAAATGCAAATCAAAACAATAGTGAAGTATATTGCCTTACAACTGTTAGAATGGCTATTACCAAAAAGACAAGAAATAACAAGAGTTGGCAAGCGTGTGGAGAAAGGGGAACCCTTGTACACTGTTGGTGGGAATGTAAATTGGTGCAGCCACCATGGAAAACAGTGTGGGGGTTCCTCAAAAAGTTAAAAGAGAACTACTATATGATCAGTCAATTCTATTTCTGGGTGAAAACACCGACTTGAAAATATGTCTGTTCCCCCATGTTCACTGCACCATTACTTACAACAGCCAAGACAGGGAAGCAACCTAAGTGTCCATCAATGGATGAATAAAGAAAATGTGGCATATATATTTATCTACAATGGAATATTAACCAGCCATAAAAATGAATAAAAGCTTGCCATTTGCAACATGGATGGACATTAAGGGCATTATGCTAAGTGAAATTACTCAGAGAAAGACAAATACCACATGATCTCATCTATATAATACAACAAACAACAAAAAAAACCCTGAACTTAAACTCAGACATACTGAAAACAGATTGGTAGTTGCCAGAGGCAGGGGTGGGAGGAATGTAAGAAAGTGGTCAAAAGGTACAAACTTCCAGTTCCAAACACATATGTCCTGGAGACGTGTAGTGTATGGTAAGATGAATATAGTTAAGAATACTGTATTGTAATTCAAAATTTACTGAAAGAATAAATCTTAAAAGTTCTCATAAGAAAAACATTGTAACTGTGTTAACTAGACATATTGTAGTGATTATTTTACAATATATACATATATCAAAACATCATGTTGCATACCTAAAACTAACATGTTATATGTCAACTATATCTCAACTTTTTCAAAAAGTTCTCCTCAAACATTTTATTAACTCAGAACAGCTAATAAATATTGGGCATATTTTACTTAAATAATTACAAGAAATTTTTTTCATATGCCATAAAACATGGTGTTAACATTGAATTCTCTTTTTGTCTTACAGGTCTAAAGGGTCAAGTTTTTGATCATAAGGGAAATCCGTTACCCAATGTAATTGTAGAAGTCCAAGACAGAAAACATATCTGCCCCTACAAGACCAACAAATTTGGAGAGTATTACCTCCTTCTCTTGCCAGGGTCATATACATTAAATGTAAGTATACAGTTCTAGTTATTGTTCTTAAAATATTACAAAACTCATAATACCTCCTCACCCAGAAGGAATCTACAATAAGTCTGGAAAGTCCAGAAGTAGCACAAACACATCAGGACAAAAGGAAAAGATGACACCAGACTTGCCTTCGGCAAGGACTGAAAGAGGGAGCATGATAGGAACCAAAAAAAATCATGTTTTTTTCCATCTGGCAATCAATATTTTTAATAAAGGCCAGACCCTATTTCTTGTAATACCTTTTATGATTTTTAAAAAATGGAAGAAACCTTATTCATAGTGAGAATAATTAAACAATGTAGCTAGAGTACCTACAAGCTTTATAAAATACCATTTTAATACCCATTTCATAAATCATAATTTCTGCTATTAAAAAACAGATTTGGACAAAATTTCTTTGGAATTCATTAGAAGTAAAATTTGACCCACAAATTTTACTATATTAAGCAAGTGATAAACATATTTTGTAGTCCTTTTGTTACCGAACAACAAGGGTGGGACAAGGGGGGCCAAAGGGTGATATGCTATTACTGAAAGGAACCCGCCAGGTTCATTATGTCCGCCGCCAGAGGAAAGACGTCTCTCAATGCCAGAGATTTGTGAAAAGGAAAGGAAATGTTTATTTAATGCTATACAAACTTAAAGTAGTGACCTAATGTCTTCATCAAAATCCCAAAGTCCCTTAAAACACCCACAAACACACACAGTCCTTCTTCCCCCTTTGCCCAGTCTGGGATACAATATCTCAGGAAAAGAAATTGAAGTCCATGGCTCAGTCAGCCCCCGGTCCTTCTCAGTAATCCATCTCGGCTGGTAGGCCTCACTCGGTTCCGGGCACCATCAGCTGTGTCGCTGGGATCTCTGCTAAAGCTGGGTGGTGGTTCCCCCTTCTAAAGCTGTGGGGGTCCCCACTCTAGCAAAGCCATAACATTTTCTCTCCACTGCCCCAGTGGTGTGGTCCTCTCTGCCCAATGGCCACGGGAGTCTCCACTCTGCCAAAGCCACGTGGTTCTCTCTCCCAGGGCCACGGGAGTCCCCACGCAGCCAAACCCATGTGATTCTCCCTCTAATGGCTGCCATGTCTGGGTTTAAATCCCCGAGCCAATCCTCCTCTGCAGACCCATTACCTACTCCTCCCACAATTGACCACACTTGCCAGCACTCCCATACCCTTCCAGCTTCACTGAGCTGCCATCATGGGTCTGGGCAGGTGTGGCCCTATGTCATAGAGCCAATCTTCTCCAAGCTCCTACCCAGGCACTGTAACCAGGGGGACCTGCCCCCCAGTTATGTCTTGGTGGGGAAGTTACTTCCATTCCCCCGGCTCAGAGCATGACCACACCTATTTAACACACCTATGTAACCAGTTAAAGGTTATAGATATGTTAAATGACCACACCAGAGGTTAACTGCAAAGCTGTTGCTATGCAAAACAGCTCTCAAGGCCCCTACTCCATTTGTCCCTTTCCCAAGTCACACCTGTGGGGGTGCAGGGGTAAGGACATCCTAATATATCCTAGACACCTTGAGTTCTGGACCCCATTCCAAATCCCTATCTGGGGTCCCCCTCTTGGCTGCACCCTATTACACTTTCATAAGCAAATGATGGTGAGTTTTCCAATCAATGCAAGTGAAGTTCTGGATTTTAATTTAAGGTACATGTTTCTGAGTCATTTCTTCCTGGTAGGAAGCATGGACTGGTTTGAGCCCAAGTAGGTTTGTGCAGATGAACTAAATGAATAAGGATCCAATTTTGTGGCCAGATTGTGTCTTACTCTCGGATGATACAACTTTTCTCTAGGAAATTCAAGATTCTTCTACTTTGTTTAGCGGGTCTGATGCCAACCATAGCAGTCGTTCTGAGCAGAAGAGCTACTCCTAGGAGAAGGTGGTTTATTCTGTGGGAAAAACTGGCTTTGCCTTTCATTATTTCACCTTTATGACATAATAAAGGCCATGGGTTTTAGTTTTTACAACTCTACGGAATTCAGAGGCCCCCTGCTCCAGAGGCCATTCCCGCAGCGCCCAGCAGTGGCGCTCCTCAACCGCTAGCCTTCTTCTTATGGATCTCTCCTCCCCACACCCCCCTCCCCCGAGGGGAGAGAATCCGCGGGATGACCTCGCCTCCCTGGGACTCTGTGCTGTTTACTGTGACATTTCCCTTCTATGAAAATAAGGGTTTTCCTTGTAGTGGATCTAAATTATTTTTATGTAATTCCAGAAAGAAGCCACGCCCATATGGAATAGTTATAAGTAAATAGTCCATTTCCAATTAGTTACACTAGCGTCACACATGTTGGCTTTAGCTACTAGTTCTAGGACAGATTAGAAGGCAGGACTTTGGGAGCTGAAATGAATGGCTGCAATACATACCAGTTACTGGTCATGTTGATGTTATTCCCCATTCTTTCCTCTCTTCACTGTATATAATTAATTGAGGATTTGTCCTATTTTTCCTGACCATTTCCCTCAACAAAAACAAAACAAAACAAAACAAAAATCTAGCTGAGGATTCAAACTCATGTGAACAAAACCAGGTAAAATTAAAACATTCTAAGGGAGCAGTAAACTTGTACACGTAGTTGTAAGGAAAATGGAATAATTTTAATAAAAGAATTACACTTCTAAATAACATGGATTCCCAAGCAGGATACCCAAGACCTGGGACACAGGGAAACAGTCAACTCTTTCCCTTTACTCTCCATGAAGACAATGGGGCGGAATCAGTCTATTGCTTCCTTCTGCTGACTTACATCTCCAGATACAAAGGACCTGCCTTTATTTCACTTTGTAATTCTTGGCAACAGCATTACCAACTGTGGTCCATATCAACAGACATTGGATAACTCTTTCAGTGAACAGAACTGAGCTGTTTACTGGCCCGGGAGGCCTGGCGGGCTGTTACATGTGTTTCCTAGAGGCTGCGTTTTCGTGGTGGATATTAGTGTTTTCAGCGTTGGCACTACAAAACATTTGAAATCATTTGGATGATTGTTTCTTCTTTCTTCTCAGGTTACAGCCCCTGGACATGCGCCACACCTCACAAAGGTGACTATTCCCAAAAAATCCCAGGACTTCAGTGCTCTTAAAATGGATATTCCATTTCCACTCAAAGGGCAGCTGGATTCTATCCCAGTATCAAGTCCTTCGTGCCCTCTGGGTCCTTTATACAGTAATTTGCCCAGTCACTCAGCTGCAACAAAGCCTGGTCTGTTCTTGTTTTTTGTGACTCTTTTTCACATATTGTTCAAATAAAGCAAAATGTGAAACTCAACCCCATCGCCACCTGGAATCAGGGATGACTCATGCCAGGTTACTGCACAGTCTAATTCCCTCTGTGGGCAGCAGGACAAACTCCACCGCCCTTCCCTGAGAAGATGAATGGTTGTTTCCAAACCCTGCAACAAGCAACTCATGATAACAAAACAAACGATTTAGTTTTGATGATGAATGGAAGGCAGCCACCCATCAAGTACTGACCACTTCCACGTAAAGTAGTCTTAGAAATTTGTAAGAAGTTAAGCTTGAGAAACAAAGAGGTTCCCACAAGAAAAAAAAAAGGAGCTAATTCTGTATACAGAGAGCCAGATGAATATAAGCAATGAACATGAACATTCATTGATCACCTGTTACATTCAAGACCTTGCTATGAGTGCTATATATATATGAGTGCCATATATAACCAGTCTCAGGGCAGGGAGAAATGATGACAGGACTGGAGGTATTTAGTTTTGCAAATGTTCTAAGGAAATATAAGAAAAAATAGGCAACCATGTCTCAGTGGCCCAAGAAAATATGGGCCTAATGGGATGACAAGGGGGTGCCTGCAGAGTCCCACAACAATGGGTCAATTAAGTAAGCATCCCTGCCTTTCTGTACCTGGGTGCCACAGTCCTCTGTTGTGCTGATGACCCAAAATGTGTGATTCTAGCCTCTTGCCTGAGCTTTGGACTCACATCCAACCGCTCACTGTATATATATCCACCAGGATGTGACCCAGAGGTACCTCGAACTCATGTTGGATATTGAACATACTTTTGGCTAGAGCTGCTCTTCCCCCTATACTCTCTGCCTCAGTTACTGGTCCCACCAAACCAGAACCCTGGGAGTCACCTCTGATACTTCCTCTTCCTCTTTCATCCCCTGTAGTCAGTCAGTCACTGCAGACTGATGTCAACTATAGGTGGTGGTCAAGTCTACCCTCCCTCCGTGGCTACTAGCGCTTCCCCGTCTCAGCTCCACTCACTCGCTCCACTGCAGCTGCTTTCCTGGTCTTCTGCTCCCAGCGTCCTCTCCTTCAGATCCATCCTCCTCTCAGCCCTGGGGAAGGGGTGGGGGGTCCCTTTAAAACAAAAATCAACAACCTGTTGCTTGTAGTTCCTCCACACCTAATGTCCTGCTGGGTCCCCTGTGTCTGGAATGCCTTTCAGCTCACATGTTTCTTCCTCCCCCTCCTTTAAAACTCAGTTTGGGTGTCAGCTCCTCCAGGAAGGCTTTGCTGACCATCGCCCCACTCCTTTCTGCTTCTCCCCCTCCCAGTCTGGGGGCCCCTCTTCTTGGCTCCCCTAATGAAAACAGGTTACTTCTATTATTGGATTTATAACACTGCAGTACTCTCTTGTACTTCATATGTGCTCTTTCTCCAGCAGAGTGGGAGCTCTTCGGAACCAGGGCTTATTTAATTTGTTTGAAAAGTGCATTGTGATATCCTTGGAGAACATATTAGGAACTAAATGAATGAACAAAGGGCTCCAACAATTTGCTACCCCCACTCTCCCCCAGAAACTGTATCGGTCTTTGAGTCATTTTATGAAATTGGAGCCCATGCTTTGGCAATTTCCAGTTCACTAGTAACACTGACGGAAGAGTGTTTTCGTATATGTATCAAGAAATAAATTCAAATATGGTGCTTTTACTGGACTTTGCATTTATCCTAAGGTTCATAGTAAAGGTATTATGTTACCTGTTCATGCTACAGCTACCTTTTTTTTTAATCAGAAAACAAAATTTTCACCATTAGTACTCAGTATGAAGCAATTATTCACTATAATGAGAGTTAACCTAACTTAAAACATTGTATTAAGGGGAATTAAGTAAGAATTAAGGGGAACTGTCAAACAGAAAAAATAATAGCATAGCAACCCTGGTAAGCAGGTCTCTAAGTGCTGTGTATCAGTCATGGAGAATGAGTTGCCTTGGCTCTTATTTTAAATGGAAAGTTCTGTAGGATCTGGAAGCAAAACTGTACTGGGCTTGGTGTGTGGTGAATGCTTGACCCTGTAAATGAATGGGAGGCACATGGGCATTTAGGAGCTATTCTCGCGCCAAGCATGTGCTACCTGCACAAAATCACACATGTTTAACATAAACATAATTTGTAATCTTTTAACTGCTTCTTTTAAATCTGGTAATAACCTAAATATCTTGATCATTTTTATTTAAATAAGCCATAATTTATTATACTTGAAAGTATATATTAAAGTATTACAGAAAATGTATCAGTATATTACCTATGAAAGTACATAAAATTTGGCTTGATTTACCATCAAGCTCTAAACAATTTTTCAATCAGGCATTCTGAGTTCTAACTTCTCCTTTTCCAAGCAGTTTTTTTGTATCTTTTTTTAACCTTGTTTTTAATTTTTAAAATTAAATTTATCAGGGTGACATTGGTTAATAAAATTAAAAGACAGCAATTTTTCAAGAAACATGACCCAAAATCTGAACTGGTTAATGAGCTTTAATGTTAAGAAACATTTTTAAAACTAGAAATTTTATCAGAATCAAACAAAATTATTTAGAGATGAGCAAAACAACTAAAACTATCTCCAAACCAAATTTACATCAGACCTGAATTTAATTCAGAGCAGGTTTGGGGTACATATTTTCAGCAGTGGCTCTGTACCCCAGTTTGTAGCAAAGGTTAGTAAGTACAATTGAATCACAGCTACACCCTCCACTAATCCAGTGAAGCGTCCCAGAGGAGAAAAGTCTACGGAATTTTGACTACAGTCAGACCATAACCTTTCCGGCTGTTCTCCACCCTGGAATGTTCCTCAGGCTCTAAGTTCAGGTATAACTCCTTTTATGGAGAGACCGATATGGTCAAGGTTTTCGAAACAGGTAGGAGAAAAGATAGGACATGGCAGTAAAATGATAAGGCAGAAGCGCTGGACTCAGACCCACCCCACGTTCAGTTTCCTTACCGGTGAAACGAAGTCCTCCGCTGGCCTGGTTCTGTGCCTGTCGGAAACCATGGTTTGAAAGCCACGCTGGTGCTGTTTTTGCTATTTGCCCAGGCGGAGAAAGGAAATTAACACTCAGGTGCAAGTATTTCAAAGGCAGTGTAACTTACCCAGGACCAAATCTTTTGCCTCAGGTACAAACAGAATTGGTGTGAAAACTAAAATCAAACATTGATTAGCTAGAATGATCATTTAATTGTATTTAAGGAAATTTCCCTGAAGCAACAGTTTTCCTGGTGTAGGTGCACTCAAACTATGCAAACATGAATGACTCTGAATGGTGGGGAGTGTTTTAAAGAAATGTTATTGCTGCAGATACATGTCAGTGCTGACTTTGGAGCTTAATTTATCACATTCAGAACTGAGCTGTTGGATGAACTCAATGTTTTGTTCTAGAAGCAAATTTGCATGGTCTACCTTTAGAAGGCAAAAATATCTGACACTTCATTGGAAAGATCTTTTCCTAAGGAATCCAGAAAAATTAGCATTGCAGATTATCTCATGGCAACAGGATAAGTCACTTACTGAGAAGTTCGTTTCTTACTGTACACAGTGAAAACTCAAATAATGTCCATTTCATGACCAATGATCCCTTTTATCTTCCTCATGACTTTAGATGGGGGGAGAGGGAGAAAATGGTCAAAGAACAATAAAAAAACATTAGTAACACCTGAAACAGAAGTTTGGCGACGGTCTAACTTCGTCGTAGACTTTATATCACTAATAAGCAGGCATTGTTCTGTATTGCTTACAAACTGTTTTATCATGGTTTAGCACATGAACTGTTCCACAGCCCTTTGTAGATGTTTTGCGATAATTTTTGAAATTTTCTCGAGGACTTTCTAATTAAGAACTTTATGTGCACACATTAAGATTATAAAGTTTTATTGGGTATTGGCCATGACTACCTCTGAACTTAATAAATCTAGAATGTTTCTTATTCTCAATAAACTAATATTCATGTAAACAATGAGTGCTGTTTCCTTCCATTACATTACCTTGAAAACAAATGCTTGTGCAGGTCTAACAAAGTCCACCTACTAGAGAACTGATTACCACTGCACAGAGCCTGGGAAAGAGCAAAGTTAATGACCTTTTATGAGGCAATATTGCAGTCAGTCTTCAGAGATCAGATAGTTCTTTCATAAACTCACCCTAGTATGTTTTATTCCAAATTAACTTGTACTGTGGAGTAGATAATGAAAAGTGTGGCTTCTGGTAAAAAAAACCACAACTTTGGAAAATCCATAACGGATATGAATGTAGTTTAATGGATCTGAGAAATCACACAAGAAAGAAATAGGATTTCCCAAACATACTTAGCCACAGAACCACTCTCTTAAATAATGTTGCCTTAAATAATGTAAAGAGGTATGGCTCAGCTGGTTGGGTGTCATCCCACAAAGCAAAATATTATTGGTTGGATTCCCTGTCAGGGCACATGCCTGGGTTGTGGGTCTGGTCCCCAATCAATGTTTCTCCCACAGATCAATGTTTCTCTCCCTGTCTTTCTCCCTCCTTTCCTCTCTCTAAAAATAAATAAAATCTTTAAAAGAAAAAAGACTACAGTAGCAATGTGTAGGCATGATAAATGAGATTATTTTGCACAGATCAGAAAGTTTTATAAATAACATAATCATTACCTTAACACACCCTGAATATAGTGTTTATAATCTAATTCTTACTACCAACTGTCCTCAGAAAAGATCCTTAATTCTATACTTGAAGTATTATAAATCCAAAATTAATAAAGCTTTACTGTATTTGAGGATACTCTTTGACTAACGTAGTAAGCACTTCAGCCATTTATTTCTTACATGAGGTAAATTATGTGTGTGGTTATTATTTTAAAGTTTAATTAGTAACTGGCAAAATCATAGAACTTCAGTTCTATTCTGAAAATAGTTCCATGGATTTTATTGTCCTCACCTGAGTGTGTACAACTGTCATACATGGGCATCAAACACTGGGACTGTCAATCAAAGTGGCTATTTTCACTATTTTGCTGATGTTTATAATTAAATATAAATCAAGATGTTAATCTGTGCAGTTTGAGGTATTTTAGAATCCTATGTTCTGACCCTACTATTCTTAAAGTGTTAGGAAATTTCTAGACAATTCAGAGCAACGTAATGACACTTCCAGCTAGTTTAAAAACAGTCCTGTTTATTCAATTTCTCAATTACTCTTTGTGAATTCACTGGTTTCTAAAACTGGCCTTAGGTGCAGGTCTGAAACCTAAGTAACTACCAAGAACCACAAAACTCAGCCCATGAGGGCACTTCAACGTGTCATAACAGTTCTCAATCTAACCAACAGATGGCACCAAATCCTGAAATTAGGTGCAGAAAAAGAGCCTGATATACAGGTTAGGATGCCTTGGACTTCAAGTTCTGTCTGTGGGTGAATGATGGTTACTCTCAAAGGCTTCTCAAACTGACATCACTACCACCTATCCTTTACTACACCAGAGAAGCTGGATAATAACAAACATTTTTACTTACACAGTAAATATGACTACCAATTAATTTTTTATCTAGAAAATTTTACAAGGTTCTGAAAGAGTAGAGAAACTAAGGATTGAAAGGTTTAGTAATATCTAAAATGTAAGTGTAGGGGACCAGTTTGTTTTGGTCTGGCAAATGTGAGCCAGCTTTGCATGGAAAACCTACAAAAGCGAGGTGGTGGGCAGGAGCCAGACCTTCAAACCAAGTTTTCCCATGGGAATCAGGCCTAGAAAATGCATATAGACTGTTATGGCTTGCTCTTGCTAAAACTCCCTCACCCTGGTCTGAAACAGTAACTGTGTATCGTCTATCTTCAATTTCCAAAGCCTGTGTAAATTTCCCCAAAGATGGGGCTAATCAGCTCACCACCTTTCCCTTCTGTATGTGTTATTTTCACTTCCTTGACTGTACCTAAAATGTAGACAATAATATTCTATGTAATAGATGATAAATCCTTCTTTGATGTAAGACCCAAGAAAAACAATAAAAGCCTGTGTAGGCAAGGGTCGGGGCGCTCTCCCCTTGAGAGAGTGGCTGTGCCATCCCCCTTTTCTCCACAGGATTGCTGTAGCCTGTGCATTTATTCTCATCTTCAGTCACAACAGGCAGACTCTGCTGGCTGGAGTCCACCACATCTGGTGCCCAGGAACAGGGACCCAGAGGCGGTCATTGTGGCCAACACACCAACATGGTTGGAACGCATGCATCAGCCCAGGTAAAGGGCCTACGACCTCGAGTGCTTTTCGGTAAGGTCATAGGGTGTGTTGTATTTCAGAGAAAAAGGGTATCTTTCCAAGGTTGTCCTCTCTTGAGACCGCACTCTTTAGTAAGCAGAATCCTTGCTCTCTCTCTCTGGCAATCGCTGCACTTCGTGGGCACAGGCCGGGTAGTTAAGAGCCACAAGGGCACCCACCACTGAAAGTCACCCGTGACAGGATAAATTGGGACGTGGACCAGAACAGAACACTAGGTTTCCTGCCAACTGCAAGCAAAATCCCACGCAAGGAGGGGCACACTGTAAAAACATCCACAAGCCCACCCCTGCAGCACAACCCCCAATCAGGTTTTAGGCTTGGGAGAGAGAGCAATGAATTTTCCTTTCAATTAGCTTTTTTTCTTATAAGCACCTCTGGGCATTCTTTCTTTAAAAGCTGCTTTTTGCAGACCTTTTGATTCTGCCTTTTCCCTCCACCCGCCTATAAACAGAAAAGCAGATAGTAAATGAGTGTTTTGGTTTCAACCGAACTCCAAGGATTGCTTTGAGAACTCAGTGTTAGTTACAGGGTTATTTATGAGTGTCTCAGCGTCTTGCTGAAGCACCGAAGATCAGAGGCATTCCTCCCTCCAGCTTGAGATCTCAGGCGTTCCTACTGTGAGCAGGAGCCTTGCGGAGGTGTCTGGGGTCAATCCCCAGAGATGTGCAGAGGTCTCACAGGGAATTCCAATCACAGTAATTTAACTCTCCTGCTCTGTCAGGGAGCGCAATATAAAGGTTGGTCACCTTGCACTTCCAGCCCCCCTCGCAGTCTTAGATGTGTGGGAAAAGCCTGAAACCCGCAAGAGGGGTTAGGGTACCCTGAGTAACAGGCTGCCCTCCCTGACAGTTTCACCAACAGTAGTACATTATGACTCACTACATTCTTTTCACTAAAAACAAAGAGGATTTAAAGGTGCGGACCCAGAGAAAGCGAAAATGGTTTTGTAATCGCCGCACTTGTGGTGGGAGGAATATCAGAAAAAGGTTCTTTTATTTGTTAAAAAATTTTTAAAATATTCCTGCGAATCCTCCACCATGGGGAACGGGCTCTCTAAAGAATAAGAGCAATGTTGTATGCTAATCCAGCAGCTTTTTAAGGCTGCTAGATGTCTCCCTGATAAGGGATCTTTACACTTAGTTATTTAGGAAAAAGTTGGGCAGAAATTGAAACAGCACCAGGTGATGTGAGATAAGGGGTGGTGTCTCACTCCCTCCTTTAGAGGATTTAATTTGAAAGTACTGGTTCGCTTGAATTTTGTTTTTGTTCCTGTTTTAAAAGTAACATCTCAGTCTCAAAATGTTTTGGTAAATAGAATGAGATCTCTAATGTTGTTAAATCATACGGATTCTACTCAGAAAGAATTTAAATTGATTATTTAAAAAAGAAAAATATCTCACTTTTCTCAGACAGTAAAAAGTGCAGGAAGAAAAACAATGAAAAAAATTGTCTTTTAACCATTCTGAATCCTCTTTCTGGAGGCCCAGGGACTGCCTCGGTCCTGGGGACAAGCTGTGCCAAGCTTAGCATCCTCCCTCCCTCTTCTCCAGCCTCCCTAAAGCTGTCAAGGGCACTGGATAATGAAACAGCTCACTTTTGAGCACATTCCAGGAATGCAGCAATCACCGAGAGTAAAAAAATAAAAAGTAAATGTATTTGCCAGTAGAAGAAAAACTGTTTCTAAAAGTTATGAATGTGTTCATAAATTTGTCGATCTAAAGCATGCTGTGAGATGGGAGGTGTGACGTGTTAAAGAAATATTAAGAATCCTCCTTGTTTATGCGGGAGCCGTGACCTTTTACTCTAAAAGTAAAATATATTGTCTCCCAGGGAGAACTAGCCCTTCTCCATGGAAGACTAAGCATTATTTTTTAACTCAGTACCTGTAAACTCTGATTTTTCCTTGGGGAAGAACTGGCTATTCTCTCAGAGGGAATGGTTAGTCAATCGAGTCACGAAAGGCCCTTGGTGTGTAACTTTTGTCTAAAAGTAACTTTTAGACAAAAGTGACTTGGTGAGTCACTTTTGTCTAAAACATATTTGAGCAGAACCTCCCCCCCACCCTCCCCATTTTCCTTGCAAACTCTAAACCTAGAAGCTACCAAATCCTAAGAACAACAGGGGCAGTTAACTTGCAGCTTGAACTCATTGCAGCTTACAGAAACAGCAGAGGGCCTGTCTTTCCAAGTAGAGAAAAAAAATGGCACTTTTAAAACTGAGGCTAGTTTTCAGCCGCCACTTGGAACCAAACCTTGTTCACGCTGGCCCCTACCTGTTATAAAACAGAAAGCCAAGGGTTAAGGGCTTAAAAGACCCCTTCCATAAGGGTGAAAATCAGACCCCCAAAGCTAAACAGAAAAAGTAATAGAAAAAGCTGAAAGACTGTTTCTTTATCATTCCTAAGCTAAGCAAATTATTAAAGAATGCTCTGACTGTCAAGCCCTTACTAACGCATCTCCATCCACGGGAGTTAACCCTCGAGGACTAAGTGTTCAAATAATTTGGCAAACAAATGTCACTCATTACTCCCCCTTTGGAAAATTCAAATACATTCATATTTCTATTAATACTTACTCTGGTACCCTACATGCATCTGCTTTAACGAATCTGCTAAAAATATACAAGCCCATTGGCTTGAGGCCTTTAGTCATTTAGGATGGCCTCAGCAAATTAAAACTGATAATGGCCCAGG